CCATTCAATTAGTCATCGTGATGTAACTAAACACGCCCACTCGTGTTTGTGTTGACGTTGGCGACGACTCACGAGCCCGCGCTTAGCCAATCACGAGTGATAGCAGCTGCAGCCAGCATTCAGTGGGAAATATAAGGAATCAAGATGCCGAAGTGGGCAAAACATAAAAAAAGTTACAGAAAGGAGTGGGAGAGTGATTCGAACCTGAAGTCCATGTCAGACCATGCCGAAACTAAGAAGCACAAGATGCGGTGCCTGCCCACAGTTAAGCCGTTTACAGTGAGTAAAGCTAACTTAAGTACTATTTTTGACGACCAGAAGCGACGTGAACTCCGCATAGCAACATACGTTGCTTGCCACACATCAGTTAATACCATGGATGAATTATCGGACATACTAAAGGATGAGACCGGAGCGTTCCAGATGCACAGAACCAAATGTTCGGCTGTCATTAAGTCAGTTCTGGCGCCATATTTTAGAGATGAACTTCGACAGGACATTGGTAACTCTTCTAACTCCCTTTACTTGAACGAAAAACAACCGACATTTCTGTAAACAAGTTACTTTGCATATGCATAAAATATCGTTCAAAGAAACACAATCGGTTTGTGAGCACTTACTTGGGACTGGTCGAACTTTTGGATGCTGACGCTAATAGGATTGTGGATGCCATCATTGGCTTTTCTGCAAGCCAATGCACTGGACATAGCAAATATGGTTGGCGTAGCAACAGATGGAGCAAGCGTCATGGTGGGGAGACAACATTCAGTGTATACGCTGCTTAAGCAGACACAGCCTAATTTACAGTTAATCAAATGTGTATGCCATTCTCTGGACATTGTAGCTCAAAAGGCAATGCAGCAGCTCCCTAGAAATATTGAATACATGATCAGGGAGACTTATAGCTGGTTTGCGCATTCATCTAAGCACCAAAATGACTACTGAACTCTTTATGAGACTGTTAACAACGGAGGTTGTCCTTTGAAAATGCTTTCTCCAAGTTCCACCCGCTGGTTAGTGACAGCAGATTGCATTGACAGAATTCTCGATCAAGAACATGCACTTGCTTTACATTTCAGTGTGGCAGCAAGCTCTGAACACTGCTAAGCAGCACGGCTTCTGAGTGAAATGTACAAGGACAAGACCAACAGCCTTTACCTGCATTTTCTTCGTCCTTTACTGCTGGAAATAAAGGCTGTCAACAAATGATTTCAGTTAGAGACCAGTGATAGACTTGCAGTTTTCCAGGTCCTCAACCGGCTGTACATGTCAACACTGAGACGTATAATTAAGCCGAGCGTTTTCCGAATGAATAATGAACAACAACTCAGAGACTTAGATCTAAAATACTCTAGTATATACCTCTCACCTAAAGATGCTGACCTGGGGACCACATTCAATCAGAAGTTGGAGGCAAGCACCCTGTCACCGGAGAAAAAGCAGGTGGTCTTAACACGCTGTATAGACCTCTTAAAAGAACTCCTGACCCAGTATCAAATGCGTTTGCCTGCATCCATGGAGCTGCTGTGGAAGCTGGAACTCCTATGTCCCGTTTCTGTTCTGTCAAACAAGTCACCGTTTCGTGAGTTGCCTAAGGAGTTCTTTTCAGGCTCACCAGATTTACTTGAGACTCAGTGGAGAAATGTTGCCTCAGCAGGGTTCTCACCTCACTTAACTATAGATGCATTTTGGTTGGAGGTAGAATCTTTTCAAGATGCTGGAGGAAACCACTGCTTTCAGGATTTAGCACTTGGTGCAATTAAAATCCTTACCCCCCCATATCCAACGCTCCCGTTGAAAGAGCATTTTCGCAAGTCTCACTGCTTAAAGATGACACCAGAAATAGAATGGGATTGCCGCTCCTTTCAAGTTTAATGGATGTGCGCTCAGGGCTCGCACAGAATGGATGGACATCGGCTACATTCCATCCTCCCCAGCAGCTGGTGGGGAAGTTTGACTCATCTATGTACTAGACAGCTCAGCCAGACTGTATATAGTTCAAAAAAGTTGCATTCAGATGTTCATCTGTGTTCTTCAGCATCCTGTCAAGTTACAACCAACAGCCTGTTCCTGTTCGGCATTTAAAGGTAGGCCTAAGATCTCTCGCTAAATCCTGTCTGTCTTTCTCCCTCTCACTCACGCACATTTATCAGGAGTGAAATATTAATAATAATAATTAAAATAATAAATAATATCATTTAAATACACATTGTTAAATTTGTTATGAACGAATTGGGTATTATCTTACAATTTAAATTTATTCTGTAAAAGTGCATTGTGTGTGGGGGGGGCATAGATGTGAATGGGTTATGTTGTGGTTCTGTTACTGCTTGTTTTTGTCGCTAGCTACAGTATAGTACATTACGTGTGGCAGTTAAAATAACTAGGCTAAATATTGATCAAATTGAAACAAATATTAATCAAATATTTTGGGCGGTTTTGTGCACGTTTGGGCAGGTTTTGGACAGTTTTTGGTCTGGAAACCATCAACTCTATCTGGCAACACTGGCAAGAGCGCACCCATCAACGCGCTTTATTCGGCTGCATTAACGGGACTCACTCGAGAAGAATGTCTCCAAAGAAGTGTGTTTTTGGCTGTAAGAGAAAAATAACCTTGTTCAGTTTACCAAAGGACCCAGCGTTCGTGAAAAGTGGATGCAGTTTGTTTTTCCCGGGGCAGCAACGGAGTTTCACAAATGTGTTTGTTGACGAACGTTTTTATAAACAAGGCTCAGTTTGGCGCTGGATTTGCACATCGTTTGATACTGAAGGATGGAGCGGTCCCAGCTATAAAAGATCCCGGTCATGATTCAGAACTGCAGACGGTAAGTGAAACGGCATCAAATGTCTGTGTTTTGTTGGCAATCGGGCAAGTGCTCATCACTCTTTAGCTCCACTCACGGCGCGCCTCCAGGAGCTCGGCTGTTTTCGGAGAGAATCGGAAAGCTGTATATTTCTTTTATAAATATGATAAAACTAAAGAATCTTTGGAGCTATGAACGATGCTATACTTATAGGTACTCAACATCAACATGAGATTGGGTAAAACTGTGTTATGTCCCCTTTTTAAGGGACAATATTTGTACCCTAAATTGCATTTTTAAACTTTATAAAGTCAACATTTTTATAATCCTATTAAACATCATGTTCATAATAAATAAAGGAATAAATTAATCTAAGTCAGTAATTTAAATGAAATTAAATTATTTGTATCTTTAGTTTTTACAATACAAGATCTGGATAATGAAGATGCCTTGCAGATCCAAGAAGACATCACTTACCATCACAATCCCATGGTGGGGTTTGTCATTGAGGAAACAGAAGCACTTATACCCCTTTTCCACCAAAGCATTTTGAGTGCTGGTTCAGAGCCAGAGCTAGTTTCAAATCAGTTCTTTGTCTTTCGACACACAAAGCACCAGCTCCGAACCAGGAAAAGTGGTTCGTAAGCACCAAAACATTGCTGGGCTAGAGAACCGCTTGTGTCAGGGGCTGGGGTGGGGTTGCCGTGACCAACAAATACTTTTGACCGCCATATTTAAAATAACAGCTAAACACAAAAACGTTGGATTCGCTGTGTTTGGATGCCAATGTAGGTTCTTAAAGCCATGAACATCAATAGCAACACAACGGCCACCATTGTTGATGGTGTTTAGGCTTGTTCAGGATGCAGTGGCGCCTCGGTATCACCCGGCGCCGATGTATCCCGAACAAGCCTAAACACCATCATCAATTGTGGATGTTGCGTTGCTATTGTGTGAGGCACGTTTTATTATGGATGCGTACGCTTTATTTGACATGTTTAGGACTGTTGAACCGAAACACCCACCGCAATGATAACACTTGGAATAGCCAGGACAATTTTTAATATAACTCCGATTGGATTCATCTGAAAGAAGAAAGTCATATACACCTAGGATGCCTCGAGGTTGAGTAAAACACAGCCTAATTTTCATTTTTGGGTGAAAACTCGTCGTGGCATTCAGCGCAGAAACAGCTCTCTCATGCACGCTCCATGTGTTGTCATATTAAATATTGTTACAGTTATGTTTATAGAAATGAACTGACAGCGCGAAAGCTCGTTCATCAGATTTGAATTCTCCGCTGTAAGATAACCATTCTCATGAATAATACTGAGAAAAGCTCCGAAAATGGATGACGTAGACGCGTACTCTCCAGCCACGGCAGCCAATCACCACTGCAAATTAACGCATATACGTCACTTTTTGTGACGTTGGTTCAACTTTTCTTTTTGAACCGGAAGAACGAAATTGCTCCAAAAATGTTTTTAAAAATAACCACTTTTCCCTTAATAATAGACATAATGAGTGCTATTGTTGTTTTCACTGATGTGCAACCTGTTCATATATGTTAACATCTCAAAAAAATATGTTTTGTGTGTGACCATAAAAAATATGGTCAGTAAGGACCAGCAACTGTTTGTTTACCAACATTCTTCAAAATATCTTCTTTTGTGTTCAACAGAAGAAAGAAACTCAATATATGTTTGGAACAAGCAGAGGATGAGTAAATGATAACAGAATTTTCATTTTTGGGTGCACTATCCTTTATTAAGTACATTCCTTTTATTTCTTTAATTCTTTAATAATTTTACTGTCATGTTCGTGCAATGCAGATATTTATACAGTAATCACAACAGATGTAGGATATGTAATACCCAACCCTAAGCAATGTCGTCACTCCTTTCTGCTGAAACTGAAATTTACGGAATTACATTTTTTTTTTATACCACGCGGTCAAATATTTCTATGAGGAGGCATATTGCTTCACAAATGTATTGAACAAAGTCATGTTTGTGTTAAAAGACACTGATGTGAGATGTTTAAGTACGTCTTGCATGTGATGCAAACTGGCAAAAATGCCAGAGGAAACGCTGAAAGTATGAGAAAAGTTTGTGTTTTCCTTCTTGGTTCAGGTGAAGTCCGTCGTGTTTATATAGGTTTTGAATTACTTTTCCATTTTTGAGAAATGCCTTTTTAGTGTTCAGAAATAGAATGTTTCTTGTTTGTGAAGACCAGTGTTGAAGCAAGCTGTTGCATTGTTTGGTTGTAGTTTTGACTGTAGAGTCGTCTTTCACTTGTGGTAAAATAGCGCTGATTGCGAAATACAGGATGTGTGAATTAACTTGTGAGATTCTTGATATGAGAGTTTTCATTCTCTGGACGACAGTCGATGCAGACGCTCTGCTTGTGATGTCGTTTGTTCCCATGTGGAGAATCACTATTGTGTAGTTGTGCAGTTTCTCAAAGTGTTTCACGTGTTGTTGAACGGATCTCACAAGAGTCGTGTCTGGATGAACCCAGCATTGTGCGTTTGGAAAGTAGTGCTCAATATCCCAACACGCCGAGTCTGTGAGGAAGCAGACCTGAAGACCTGGAGGAGACCACAAATACTAGTTTTTACTGTGTTCAGAATGAATTATGGGTGCATTGCATGTTTATTGACATGTATTAGTTGTTTACCTTTTGGTACGATGAATGTTCTTTTGTTGATTGTAGTTCTTATTGAGATTTTATCTAAAGTGACATGAAGGCATGTTAATATGTTAGTACACTAATATTTAGTTTGTAAACGGTTTCTGGTGCTCTAAAGTATATTCAGTATTGTTATTGTAGCTTTTTAATGCGCACTAACCATCTGTTTGTTCCTCAGTATCTTCTTTTTTCACTCTGAATGCTTCTTCAATCTTCACGTCCTCACTCTCCACTTTTATTCTATGATTCATTGGAAAACTCCTCATTATTTGAAAATAATTTTCTTTGGAAATAAAAATCTAACCTGTTGGTTCCTCAGTATATTCTTGTTTGACTCTGAATGCTTCTTCAATCTTCATGTCTTCACTCTCCTCTTTAATAAATGCCATCTTTATAATAGTGTGTCACGTGGATCCCAGTTGCTTTACCAGGAGTTTTTCCTGTTTAAGATGAGAATAATTAACATAATATAAAAATAAAACAAAATACAAAATTCGTCCGTGACTTTACATTTTTGATGCAGGTGTGTGAATGTGTTTTGCACCATATTCACTGCAACAATTGTAGCAAAACATGTGAGCGTACGAGTTTCTTGATTTGTGCACCTGCAGTGAAGGATTCGAGAAGGTGTAACTATTGTGTTGTGTTTGTGGGAGAGAACAAAAACTACAAGTTTGCAACTTTTGTCATTTCAAAGATATAGAATCAGAAAGTGAAAGAAGGTCCACTGTTCACGGTGCAAATCCGAATCAAAAAGAACATTTTGAGTCACCCACTTAGCTTTGGAGAGAAGACTACAATTAAAATAACAAAACTTTTTTCAGCCGAATCGCAGATGCAGGAGCGCGACGCAGCCTTATGATGTCGCGTCGTCAGACCAAAATAAAAGTCTTTTCCACGCTAAAAAAATAATGCATCGCATTGATGGTGGGTTTAAAACTATGAGTGGCTTCAAATTAAATCGTTAAAATAATTTCTAAATGTGTCAATATTATAAAGAAGTGACTCATTAAGCTTGCAGGCTTTCACAAACTGGTACTTTATTTGAACTTTAATAGAAACCGATTTACATATGCTGTTTTTTTCAACAGGGTGGTTAAGTGCAGCGTGTCCAATTCTAAAACGAGACATTATGCTGTCTTCCCATCTATTCTCCTTTCACTACAAACTAGTCTCTGAATATCATTATTATATTCAGCCTCTATCAAACACAAGGTAACTATCACTTTATACAAACAACCTCCAAACTACAATATTCACAAAAGAATGCAAACTTAACCATGACCAACACAACATAATCATTTAAACAATGGTAGAGGCCAAATATAGTTTTGTGTTATGCACTCATCACACTGTGTAGTTTTTGTGTATGTACAAATGACATTCAGGAAGATGTGAGGTTTTGTTAAGTAATTTTTTTTATTGCTTCACAAATGTATTGAACAAAGTCAAGTTTGTGTTAAAAGACTTTCATGTGAGATGTTTAAGTACGTCTTGCACGTGATGAAAACTGGCAAAAATGTCTGAGGAAATGCTGAAAGTATGAAAACAGTTTGTGTTTTCCTTCTTGTTTCAAGTGAAGTCCGTCGTGTTTGTATAGGTTTTGGATTACTTTTCCGTTTTTGATAAATGTTGTTTTTAGTGTTCAGAAATAGAATGTTTCTTGTTTGTGAAGGCACATATAGGACAATAGGTTAGGTTGTTAATAAAAAATATTTCAAGTTCAAAATTAACTTTTCATTGTCTGTAAATGAATGTAAAAAAATATATATATTAAAAAATTTGACCAGTTTTCAAGGCATTGCAAATATTTCGTTTTGTGAAAAAATAGCTGAATTGATATCAGTATTAATATATAGAGTTTAATGTATAATCACTATCTGTATTCTCCAAAATACTTCAAAATTATACATGTTTATTTTTTAACAAGGGCACTTCAATAAATTTGGTGATTCACTCCTTTGGTAAGTATAAATAAATTGACAAATTTATTTACAATTGCACATAAAATGGTGAAAATTAAATTGTAGGCTTATAAGTATAAATGCTGTTTAAATTTTCAGATTAATCTCTTTTGTTTTAGTTGTGTGTGAATACAAATGTAAAATCATGGTAAGTGAGTCTGTCTGATGTCTTTATTGACTCTTGATGCTTCTGCCCCATTACTGTAATTGCTGGTCATTATTCATGCTAATAAACACCTGAGTTAAGTGAGAATGCATCTGGACTTTTCCTGATGTCTCTGATAATGAGTGCTATAGTTATGCTGATTGTTTTAGAGCTGCTGAAATTCAGAGTCTGAATGGTTCCTATAACTGCTTACATCCTTTGTTTGCTTTATCTTCATCTCTAAGGACGGCCCACTAAAATGTGTATAAAGTTACAGTGTTTCACTGCTTTAGTCACACTTGATGACCGCAGCGCCATCTCAGTTAAGAGTCTCCTGGTCTTTGCTTCTGAGTTTCCAACAGCTGTAACCGGATATTGTAAGTATATGGTTTGTTGTTTTGTTTGTTTTCCAACGGTGAATGTTTTCATGAAAATGCAATCTATGAAAAGTATTACATCTAAACAATAACTAGATAATTGTAGCATTGTCATTATTTTATTATTTATAGTGTTTTGGGATTATTAGGGTCATTTAAGGCCATTGATCTGTCGTCCAGAGAATGAAAACTCTCATATCAAGAATCTCGCAAGTTAATTCACACATCCTGTATTTCGCAATCAGCGCTATTTTACCACAAGTGAAAGACGACTCTACAGTCAAAACTACAACCAAACAATGCAACAGCTTGCTTCAACACTGGTCTTCACAAACAAGAAACATTCTATTTCTGAACACTATAAAATCATTTCTCAAAAACAGAAAAGTAATCCAAAACCTATATAAACACGGCGGATTTCACCTGAACCAAGAAGGAAAACACAAACCGTTTTCATACTTTCAGCGTTTCCTCTGGCATTTTTGCCAGTTTTCATCACGTACATCACGTACAAGACGTACTTAAACATCTCTCATGAAAGTCTTTTAACACAAACTTGAGTTTGTTTAATACATCTGTGAAGCAATAAAGTATAATTTCACTTAACAACAAAAGCTCATACTTTTTTCTGAACTTAATTTTTACCTGCCAAAAACTACAATTTGACACGTGCGTAGCACACTAAAGATATTTGCCCATATATTTCATATTTCATTTTGAAGTTTATTTTTCATTTGGTTACTTTGCTGTGTTATTTGAATTCAATGTGTCAGTAAACAAAGGGAGACTCAGCAGTGCTTCAGGTCATTCTTTGTTTTGGGCCAGAGGAAATTGTACAATACCATCATGCTTCAAGAGCAGAGGAGGATCTGTTAATCGTTTCATTTAGTTTATCTTACTTGTTTATTGAAAGTCAGCCAGAAGTCAGTTAGTGCCAGTCACTCTAATGTCATGGCCTGCTGATCATAGTGTTTGGAAGTTGGTTACTTATATTAATTATAGTTACTATAAATTAGGCCCATACACAGTGCAGACAGGGCAAAGTCGGAATGTTCCCAAGCACATTGACCATTTGTGTAAAAATGTGTGCATGTGTGTTATAGTCAGAAGTACAAAAAAAAAAACAAGACCTAAAAAATGACTTGCCACTTTACTTGGACTCGTGAACAACTGACTTAAAACATAAAATGGCTTTGAATCACCCGTCAAATGAAGTAATATGGAAAGCGCAACATGGCTTAGCAACCTTCTTAAATTGTGAAAAGTCTGTGATTTAATAGGGCTGTGTATCACCAATAATCTGGTGATATGATACGTACTGTATGGCAACAAAGATGTTAGGAGACATATATTGCAATACTGTAAGATGACATTGTATTTGACTTTTAAAGATCCAAACAAGAAGATATAACCTATGCAGAAAAAAATTTAAAGGAAAAAGATTAATTTAGTGCAGCTATAGATGAGTACAACATGGCAGCACCTGAAAAACTGCAGTCAGCTGAAACAATTCTGGTATCTGAGAGTTATGCATGGCCACGAATACTGTGTGAGCATGGTATATCTTGTGATTCATTTCAGTTTAGTTAAGTTCAATTTAGTTTAATTTAGTTTTACAAACTATACAATATTTATGAAAAATGTTTAAAAAGAAACCAATGCTGACTAAAGTACTGTCCAAGAAAAAAAAATGGACTGGGAAATATTCAGAAATAAAACTACCAGTAATAAAGAACAAACAACAATAGTACAATAATCAAACCAATGGTCAATGAGTATTAAAAACAAGAGAAAATAAGTATGCAGACTTCAAAATGAAAATAAAGGGACTGTCACGATACTGCTACTGTGGAGGAGACGAAGGAGCGCGGAGACAAAGGAGATTCAGAATTCATCACAGTCTTTATTAAATCCAAATAAAGACACACATGGAATGGGCAGGAATACACACACGTAGCATTGGGGTTAGACGTATAATACCGGACGCAGGACATGGGAAAACACAGGGCTAATATACTCTGAACTAAATGGGGAACACCTGGAATCAATTAACATAATTACCATGGGAGTAACTGGGTAATGGAAAGCACATGGGGGAGGAAAACACAAGACACAGAACACAGGACTGACATAACTCCCCCCTCCCGGAAGCCGTGTCCACGCACCACACAACATCCAATGGGGGGACCCATGGCAGATCAGGCAGTTCAGGGGGCCATGGTGAAGCAGGGAACTCAGGGGGCCATGGCGGAGCAGGCAGCTCGGGGAGCCATGGCGGGGCAGACAGTTCAGGGGGCTATGTTTGTTCAGGGGGTAACTGTCTGAGCAGACAGTTCAGGAGGCCTGGCCTCGGCACTCAGCCCGACCTCTACAGACGAATCCCTATAACCCCCCCCCCAAAAAAATCCTTGGGGAGTCACTTCGGAGCGGCTGGCAGGCTTGAGAGTTCAGTGGCTGGCGGGCTTGAGACTGCAACAGCCGGCGGGCTCGACTTCGGAGCGGCCTGCGGGCTCAACAACGGAGCGGCTGCCGGGCTTGAGAATGGAGCGGCCGGCGGGCTGGTTCTGGATCGGGGCTGGACGCTCTCCAGACACCGGAGGATCGCTTCCCTCCAGCTTAGTCCTGTGGTGTCTGGGAGGTCAACAGGGCGGTAGTAATTAGCCCTGATCCAGAACAGCGAGTTGATGGTGGCGTCATCTAACGCCGTAGTCGCGGCGAGCCCAGGCGAACTCTATGAATGGGAGATCTCTGCGGGCTAGGCCGCAGAACTTTGCAGCGACCTCCATGGCCGCGGGGAGAAACAGGAAAACAAAAGACTTTCAACAAACGGGGAGAAAGGGCGCCGCTTACTCTATTGTTTCAGTCTGGTATTCTGTCACGATACTGC